AGAAAGCAGAGAAAAAAAATTACCCTTGTGTCTTCTTTACACATTCTAAAAGAACGAAGTATGGGCAAAATTCCAGCTTTGAAAAACAGAACCTGTTAGGTTGCTTTTAGGATCACAGGCTTCTTAAAATCAGACAATATCAGCGCTTGTTTTAAAGACACAAGTATTTTATTCCAGGTGTTTTTGGCTGCAAACCCAGAAGATTCTCATGATATTTTTTTTTATTTTTTTTCCCCCCTGCAGATGCAACCTCCTTTCATACCATATGGTGGTAATTAACAGTTTCAGACTTAGTTTTGAGTTTTCTTCTGCTTCGATTCTTGGTTCGTTTGGGACAAAATTTTAATGTCACGGAAGCAGAGTTTTCTGTCTGAGTTTAATTGCAGACAGGAATAATGTGCATCTCTAGATGAAGAAGGAGAAGATGAGATCTATTTAGAGCACTAAGAGATATTTTGGAAATCTCACCAAGTACAACCTGTTTCTTTTCATTAAGCCTTTCACTGTCCCTCTGTAGAACTGAAACAGACCTGGCTTGGACCCTGGAAACAGAAAGAGACAATTTGAAAGATACAGTTGGAATGAATAGTTTCTTTTAACAGCAAAATGTTTGCACTTTTTATGAGAGCAAGGGTAACATTGTGTAATCTTCAAAAAAGATATTGCTCAGTGAGGATAAGTCCATTGTCCAGTGACACGACTTTTCCTGTCAATCACAAAGGTGACAAGGGGGCTAGATTAAGTAAAGCTTGCCCAAGATTAACAAAGGAAGATTATTGACCTCATCCTGAAAGGGCAGAAGCCTGTTTTATCATTAAACCTTGGAAGAGGTATTTCCTCCATAGGTGGAAAGCTGTTTGGCAATATCGAGGCAACTTTCTTGTAAATGAATGAATCTTCCTGTGGATTCTAGCTTGGAACAGAAGCAGAAGACGAGAAACGAGGGCCAGTCCCTTTTTTTGTTGCTGTTGTTGCTGGGGGGAAGAAGGGCCTAGAGTGTTTGCTCCAGCAGGATCTGTGTAGGTCCTTGTCTGCCTTTCCGAAGTGGGAAAAGCAAGAAGCAGCAGCATCAGGTGTTGGTGAGTACAATCCCAGCTCAGAGTTGGAGGAAATGTTGTGCCAGCACACATTAGCAGAGCAATTCGCAATGCAAATGAACAATAGAACCCCGTCCACCAAGCAGCTGCTAACTGCATAAAACTGTTACCAGGATTAACAGTGCCAGAGGCTGGAATGTAATCAAACTTGAACAGGTGAAATGGTTGTGCAGCTCAGAGAGACTGTTTTACAGTAAAAGCGTGGTTTTCCACTGTTTTGGTGGCTGATAGGTCTTGTGTGTGGCTTGATGGGTTTAATTTTAAAATGCCATTAGCAGATATTTATGTTCTTTAATACCCCTCCTTGCAGTGTTGTTGCTTTTCTCTCAGTTAAACTGAAAAAATGTCATGTCGATTTGTCCTTTTAGAAGAGGAACCTGCTAAATCTCGCTTGTTGGGAGGGAACTTCCTTCTCAGGGGATTAATTTTAAACTGTTGCTGACATATCTTTCTTGCCATTAAGGATTTCTCTGAGTGTTTTCAAGGGGATAGTTAAGCTCTCATATGCAGTATCAGAGGATTTCCTTTACTAGAAGTTTTTTAGCTTTATGCAACCATTGACACAAGCAGGTTTTATGTGGAAGGATGCTTTCTTTCTACGTGCTAGAAGTAAAAATCCAGACCCACTTTCTCCAGTAATGGCATAAGAAAGAGCAAAATCAAACAGAGGGATGTAAAGCGAAAGCCAAGATAACAGTTGCACGTTTTCAGGTTGTTGTTCTGAATGACAGAATAAAAAGATCATGGACAAGTGGGGAAGACAGATTCTCGAGCTGGTGTGCTAGAGGATACATGTTGAACTGTCATCAACAGCAGAAGCTGATGTGTGCAGTCGTCCGCTGGTATGGAAGGGAGAGGATCCCTCTTAGATTGCAAATCACGCAATGAATGTGTGATTGCTACAGATCTTTTTGAATGAATAATTCACTGGTGTACTGTAATTTAGCCCACTGAGATGTGATTGCAGCTGTTCCCCTACTGTATATGTGTTTTGATTAAGTGGAGTGTATCTTAAACCCCACAAGTGTATAAATAGCCCACGTATGTGATGTGCAAACACTGCATACATGCACACCTAACAAGAGCAGTCAAAGGAAACATTTTTATTTTGGGGATGATTGCTTAGTTGTGTATTTTAGTATATAATTTACCTTTTAAAAAAATCTGTATAGAACAGTTCCCTTTCCTTTTTTAGTTCAGCTATGAAGTCTTTTTAACTGTGGTATTATATAAAGGCTTTTAGCCAACATTGTAGTAGGAGGGTGTCTCTGTTATTAATGAGTTTATTATTCCAAAACCTTTACAATATAAGAAATTACTTCTTTTGTGCCTGTTTTACAGATAGGAAACTGATATGCAGAAATAAAAGTGACTTTTACCATGGTTTCACAGAACATTTGAAAAAATTAGGAATTGAGCATCCAGAAGTCCTTTCATGATGCTTTGCCCACAGCCAACTGCCTTGACCTCTCCCCCTCACAATTCCTTTTCCCCAGAAAGTGAGGCAGAGAAATTTTAGTAGTTTTGAAAATACTTGTGAGTTCCATTTGAAAACCAAGCGATTTGTGATTTTGAAAATCATCTGATACTGCTTTACATAATATTGTGTTCTTATGCTGCTTCTCTTATAACAAACCGGTTGTATATTCAGAATATATATGTACATACAAAAACCCGCTTGCATGCACCTAAAATGTACATGAAAACAGCAGTGATGACACCTGAGGTTTAGGCAGCTGTTGCAAGTACTTAGTGTCTGTGACCAATGTGTGACATGCAGAAACACGAGTGAATGTCTTTGGGGCACACTCTGGATTAAAACAAGAAACTAGTTCCTGGTAAAACGAGGAAGAGTACTGTTCCTGTATATAATTGATGGTACAGGTAGATTTAAGAACTGTAACTAATGATGATATTTGGCTTCTCTGATTCAAAGTGTGAATAAGAAAGCAGCTTTCAAGATACTTCCTCTTTTGGCCTTGTCTGTGGGAAAAAAATTGCCACTTGGTGATAATAGGTTTGAATCTTAGATAAAATCTGAACTGATGCTGAAGTTAACTATTTGCCTCGTCTAAATTGGTGTTAAAAACCAGTTTATTCAGATCTGTATATATAGGGAAAAAATTGCATTTGGCTTCGATTAATTTTAGAAGTCCGGTGTCAGGAACTTGTAATTTTCCTTGTGCAAAATAAAAATGGAGGGAGCTGCAAGAAAAAAAAGGAAAAAAAGGAGCATTTCTGTTGACTAGAGTCGGAAAATTTTTTAGGGCTTGGTCAAAAGCTCATTGACGTCAGTAGAAAGTCTCTCATTAACAGCACTGGGTTTGGCTTTTGGGGCATATGATGGCCCAGATTGTAATCTCAGTTAAATCCGATTCTGTTAGGGAATTTGTTCACTAGTATAACACATTCAAGCTGCTCAAAACTATTCGCATTAAAAGTTTTCTTAAGCAAAGGTAATCTTTTTGCCACAAAAACGGTCTGTGAAAACAAATATATTCTTTATTACGTATTTTCTGTGTAGCTTTATTCAGATTTTATTGAGATAGTTTTTAGCAATTTATGTTCTATTTACAAAAATATACCTTTTTCCTCCTGAAATACTGTGGTTTATTAGAGCAGAGACATAAAAAATTGCTCAGAAAAAAAATTATTATTCTACGAATCACTAAAAACTGTGTGCATATATATATTTATATCACTTTCATACCCTTATAAAATGAAAACAATTTAAAAATTATTATGACTTTTTCAGCCAAGTCTGTAACTCAGCTCACGAGATGATCCAGTGGCTTTTTTAGAAATAATATTCATTGAACATCTGGAGTACAAAAATGTAAGGAAATAAGATAGTGAAAAAAACCCCTGGAAAATCAGATCAAAGTAAAGACTATACATGTTTATAGCATTATGTTTTATGGAGTGTATTTACTCTGCAGCAAGCTGTGTTTGGAGACACTGACCTAAGTTTTGCAGGTATAGGTGGCATATGTTAGCAGAGGAAGAAATGGGTTTGAGAGATGTGTAAGAAGGGTAAGGTATAACAGAGACATAAAAGGAAAAGGAATATGTGCAGAGAACATTGTTTTATGTTGGAAGAGGTGTGGATTAGAAGGCTCTCACATTAATGAAGGCAAGTTTGAAGATGCTGGACCCAGTTTTGCTTTCCATTAAAATTAATGAGTAGACCTCTGTGGACTCTCACGTGAGGAGGGTTGTGTGTATGTTCCGGGAAGTCACAGAGTTTTGCCATTGTGCTGCCAGTGAAAGTCATTAGGACCACCTTTGTGAAAAATACTGTCTCTATGAGAAATGAAAGTTTGAGGCAGAAGAGGAGAACAGAAAGAGAATTAGAAAGCAGGAAGAAATTGCTTCATCCTTTATAGATGGGAAAACTGCTTGAACTGTGATTTAAAATAAGTCATATGGCGAAGGGCATTTAGTATTTGGTTACTATTTTATTTCTTACAACAACTAGCCATCAAGGCATTAAGTACTTTATAAAGTCAGGAAATTAATGGTCCTTGTAAAAATTGAAGGGCTTTTTTTAGAAGGAAAACTGTAAAAGAACAAACAATTAAAGGTAATCAATACCATTGTTATTAGGAGACCTATGAGTACAACACTTCTCAATTAGGGAAAAACTGTATTTTATGTTTCTCTCTTGCAAGCTGATCTTTGTTCACTCCAGCCTGTAATCTTGGTTTATGCTTTATGGGAAGGCTTTGTTCTGGGTGTTTTTGAAGCATTGCATGCCTTTTTAAAGGTTTCAACAGAAGAACAAACAGCAATGCATTCAAAGCGCAAAGGATTGTTCTTTCTTTCTTTCTTTCCGTCTTTATTTTTTTTCTTCTTCTTTAAGAAAAGAAAGAAATATTTCATCTTGTTTTTCTCCCCTTTCAGGAAGTTGATGGCAATAAAGTGATGTCTTCATTTGCCCCGCACAACTCATCTACCTCACCCTTGAAGGCAGAAGAAGGTGGGCGTCAGAGTGGAGAATCATTGTCCAGCACAGCCCTGGGAACCCCAGAAAGGCGCAAAGGGAGCCTAGCGGATGTTGTAGACACCCTTAAGCAAAGAAAAATGGAAGAGCTCATCAAAAACGAGCCAGAAGGTAAGGCCTGGGAAACTGGCCAAAATTTTCTGTTTTCTTTTCTCCAGATTCCTTTGGATATGTATACTTTTTAATCTTCCAATTTCCGCTCTGTTTGCTTTTCCTTGCTAGCAAAATCGAAGTAAAAAACTCATAGTTCTTGTTAGAGATAAATTAGAGATAAATTTCAGCAATATCCCATCGTAGCTAACATTTTTAGCTTTTCCCAAATTAGAATCTACTGGTCTTTTTGTCACAGTTGCAATAGACACAGCTCCTCAACTTGGGTGCAGTGAACCAATTTTAATTGCCTGGGGGCTTTTACTCCGCTGCTCCCCTCTCCCCCATTTCTAGAACTAAAAGCAGTGTTAGCAGGAGTGTCAGTGTTTTTTCTGAAATTATCTAGTGGCCATGTCATTATTTGAAAGGTAAGAAGTTAAACTGGGAATTCATGAAAGCTTTTGTATGGAACAAATCATCTTCTATTTATCTGTAGTGCAGGTGTTATACAAACACAGTACAGGCTTTCTCTGCATTATGTCTGGCCAGCAAGTTTCAGCCTTGGCATGTTGGTAATAATTTCTGGAGAACTGGTTTCTTCTTGAGACCATGTGTCCAGTCAGTGATGATGGCACTCATGCTCTGGGGGCTGAGATTTAGACCAACCAATCTCACCTCTGAGAAACCACAGAACAGCTTTCCTTTAAGCAAGATTTTAATTGTTGCCTATTTGGGGCAGAGTCAAAGCCCTGACTGGAAGATGAAATTCTCACTACAATCTCCATAGGTATCCAGCATGCTTTCTGGATTGGGGCACTGTGAGGCAGTTGTGAGAACATAGCAAGCCTTCCTCCCTAGTGCACAGCAACGAGACTCTATTTTGGTTTACACTCACCTATCCTGTTGTGAAAATGTATTTCATATGTTTAAAAGCATGGCCCTCAGAGCTCCCCTCAGTGTGGAAGTATGAATTGACAGTACCTACGAGAAAATTTTAGGACAACCTGCATACTGGAATGAAAATATGGATGCAAACACAAGCACGTTGTGATGTACACAAGCATGACAGGATTGTAAATGAGTCTTTTCTTGACTGGAGCACACAGGGTCTGCTGGGAAACAAATTCTTTGTCTAAGCGTTTTTTGGAATGATGCTTATATTGTTTCTTTTGCATTTATGTTGACTTAATAGTCAGTGCCATAACATATCTTGTGCCTTTGGATGGAAAAGACTTCGGTGGGGGGGGGTGGGTGGGAAGGAGACCAGGCTTTTATCTGAGAGAGAGAGGAAAGAACAGGGGGTTCTGGGCAATGTATAAATACTCTGTTGAGTATGAGGTTTCACAAGCTCCATTAGGGAAAGGCCACAGATAGACATGAGAATGGTTACAGAGCTTGTGCATTATCTCAGCTCCACTAAAATGAAAATATACAGTACAAACAAAAGATCTACAGCTTTGTGAAGAGATTGGGAGAGAGAGGAGGGGGAGCAACTGAATGTTGGGCTTTGCAAATGCATGCAACAAAAAATCTTTTCTTCCCTCTAGCCATTGTTCTATTGTCTTTCAAAGGCCATTAAACTGAACAGCAGGTTGTGATGAAAATTTCATTAAGCCCTAGTTAAATCATTATGAGGGTGCCATATTCATGTCTCTGCTTACTCCCCATCCAGGAAAAAATGAATAGGAAAGAGTTGAGCTTTTTTTCCCTTTCTCCTTAAAAGCGAACTAACAAAAGTTCAGAAGTTAGAAGAGAATGGGAAATGGGACATGAAACAAAAGGAGGCCAGAGAGGTGAGCTGGCTAGGAAGAAAATTAGACTTGCATAAGAGCATTGAAAGGTGGTGAGGGACAAATACATCATTTTGACAAGTCTCCCTCCCCCTTCCCTTCAGCCAACATGATTGTTTTTAGAGTGGCTAATTAAAAAATATATATTTCTGGGTGCAGATGGCAAGACTGTTCTTAGAGATCCTCCACAAATACGAGTCTTTTTCCCTAAATGAGGTATGTACTGATACAAGCACAATGTCTCTCTGTTTGAACTCCAGCAGAAAATTATTGTCATGTCTTCTTCGTGTAGTCCTAAAGTAAAGTTGTCAGTCATCACTGGTTGCTAGTCAGGTAATTAGCATATTAATGAATTTCCCCATGAATAAGATGTTACAAGTGGGAATCTTTGATAGTACATGTAGGTAACAATTCAGCAATTTGTGATCGCTGTGTATTTCAGTAATAATTTTTAGTCTTACTAGTTCATGGAGCTTTGTAAGATGTAGACCAAGAATCTTGGTTAAGCTTTGCTGCATTATGTCAGCAACAATAATATAATACTTTATTTTCCTTTGGGAAGAAAGGGAAACATTTACACCAGTAGTTGAGGTTTAATTAAATCAATTTCCTGTGAATCTTTCAAAAACCAGATATGAGCTAGATTCCCATTTCTCTATGTACTCAAAAGTTTATATATTATTTAACTTGTACAATGGGCTGTGTTTGCTCTCTTTTTATTGTTTGAAATTGTCTTCTGAATTACTGTGGGAAACGTGCTTTTCAAGCATTCTTTCAAATGGCCTGTTTCTTCAAAATCTGAAAAAAAGAGAAGGCCTGGGTAGACAACTTTAGGTCTCAGTCCTTGTATCAGTCAGGGAAAGGAATTCTCTTTTCTGAAACTGGTTTTGAGGACGAATGATATATTCCAAAATACTGATAACAGGTTTGAGTGTTTTTAAGAATCTTTATTGATACTGTCAGAGGTTTTCTTAAATTATGTTTCTTAGAAAATAAGAATAAAAAATTAGTAAATTTCGTCAGTAAAGGACAAGGATTTTTACATTGCTGCTAAACTACTGCTCAGAGTGCACAAATGCACACATGTATGTATGCATAATTAAACACATACATGTATTCATGCATTAGCTGACAAGGGAAGCATCACTCTTCATATAAATGGTGATTTCCATGTAGATTTGTTGTATATATACCTTTGGTTAATATGCCCTGTAGGAAACCATGCTGCCTGCTTTCCCAAAGCCTGTCACTTCCCTTTCCTCCTTGGATATGTGTATGAGTTTTGGTTTTATTTTTTGTTTTGTTTTCATAGGGGTTTATACTTAGCTCTAAAGCTCCATGCTCTTTTTTTTTTTTTTTTCACCTCTAAACTTGCCTTTTTACCCTTGGTGTATGAAAGTATGTGATTGACAATGAGTCATGCTGACACAGAGACATGGAGTGTTTCAGGGAATCTAAAACTTGTGGAATTTTACTCATTACTAATACAGTGCTCATTTTTATTCTCTCAAATTCTGTGGAAAATCCTTATATGCAGCTTTAGTATTAGGCCCCCAAAGGCATAAACCTATTACTGAAGTCACACAATGTTATTTTACATGAAACATTCTGTCCTTTCTAACTTGAACTTCAGAAGAGGAGTCAGCCCCCTTTTATTCCTGGTGTACAATAATGAAGATAATGGAGTGGGTTTGGAGAAGCCTTATACACTGTGACAGACCTCAAGCCCTTGCCCTGAGGGTCGTCTGCCGACCACGGGATTCCTTTTGCAGCTAAAATCATTAGGCGAATGAGATACAGGCATGTTTTTCTTCTGTTTTCTTCAGGCATCAGGGAATGGCAGAGGCTCTCTGTCTGTCTGTTCTCCTCATTTGTAGAAATGAAATGGAAATCTCTTTGAAGTCACTGAGCTTGACACAAGTTTGTGAAAGCAAAGACCAAAGCAACCACTTAGGTTTTTCTTGCACTATTAATGGGATTGGATTGCTGTATTTTAATTTATGGCCTCTGCTTGTGGAAAATTAGATCTCTGAAATCTGTGTAGCCTTTCCCCTAAACGTATGGCTTGGCTTCTGGAAAAGAAATAGGCAAACAAGTAAATTCTCTCCTATTTTTAGAATAAGCCAGAGTACTCTTTGGCTTTTTACGTATCCTAACCTTTAATTAAGAATCAGTCTTCTTTTTCTGTTTTGCCAATATATATTTGTACCTGGTTATGTATCTGTCTCTTTATCTTTAAAACCTACATAGCGAGTCTTCTGAGGCCAAATCCATATTATTGTACACAATTTGTGGGAATTCTGGATAAAAAGGATCCTGTGGGCATCTACGTGACCACAGAGACTGCACATATGAGTGTGTGCACATGTGGGTGCAGTCAGTCATCTGCATGGCTCATTCTTCAGTTCAGCTGGGCTGTTTAAATGAATACTTTGAATTTTCTATAAATACATGTACACACTTATATCTGTATAGCATGTATTCTGTATATTTAGACATAAATATATATAAACATGCACACACAAGAATTATATATATATATATATATATATATATAGTGTTTCATATTTTTCCTACTCCAAAATTTCAATCTAGTAGTCCTTAGGTCTTCTGAGTAGGAACAATTAATCTCAACCGTTTAGTAAGGAGGTAATATGTGTGTTTGCAGTGCTTTAACAGGCAATGTGAGTACTAGAGCCTCATGTATTATGATATGCAGCAATACTATAAGTAATTACTTGTCAGAAAAAAAGGGATGAGAAAGGCCTCTCGGGCATGATTTTTGTCTTCTGAATGTCTCCCAAAGGCTATTTGTATTTGATGTTTAAGTTTACATTATAAATCACAACACCTGTTCATGTACTAATTTAAATGGCTGTTGTTTAAGCAGTTCTGTAGACTATAAAAGTGAACTGTGCTGAATTCAGGCTCTCTAGTTGAAATAAGATCCCAGAATACCTCCTAATATTATCAAACTTTTAATCAACATATCTTGTAAAGAAATCAAGAGGTCTCCCTCTTCTTAAGAGATAAATTCCAAAGCAGGCCATTAATGGGCATAGGAAGGGTGGCCTTTGAAATGCAGACTCTTTTAAAATCACATCTGATGAGATGGGAAGAAATAAAGTGCACAGATTCGGGGAAAGCCTAAGGATACTGTAATTGGTTGGGGTTTGAAATTCTTTTATTTGGTTCTTCACTGTCCCTTTGACAGAGTACGAGTTGAAGAGG